TTTTCTGCGTAGATGATAGTGCAGACTCGATACTATATACTCAGGGCGTAAGTCGTCGGATCTTGTGCTAAAGAATTGAAATTATGTGTGGCTTGAGTAAGGATGCTTCACTGATTAGCGCTACGAATGATTGAGATTATGAGCAAATTTACCAAGAGTACATCATTCAACCGCAGGGCTTGGGTTCTTTGAGCTTTGGAAGCCCAAGAACTTCAAGTATTAGTAGCCCTGTATCCTCAGCTTTAGGAAGCCCGAGAACCCTGAGTTTTGGAAGCCCAAGGGTTAGTCGATTCAGCTGGGTGTCCCGTTTGTTTCAGGTTCTTGTCATCGTTGGATCTTTGGTTTCATTCTTTATAGTCATAGGTGGCGGTTATATGTATGTTCTTCCTACCTTCAGTCAGGCATTTCTTGGATATGGTGTCTCCCAATTGAACACTTCAAGGGGAGAGTGTGATATATTTGATGGAAATTGGGTCACGGATAATGAATATCCGTTGTATAATGCTTCAGATTGCCCTTTTGTGGAACAAGGATTCAATTGTTTAGGAAACGGACGTAGAGAAGAGGATTATCTTAAGTGGAGGTGGAAACCAAAGCTATGTGATATCCCAAGGTTGAACGTTCATAATGTTCTGGAAAGGCTTAGGGGTAAGAGGGTTGTTTTCGTTGGAGATTCTATGAGCAGAACCCAGTGGGAGTCATTGATATGCTTGCTAATGGCTGGTGTAGAAGATAAGAACAGTGTCTATGAAATAAATGGGAATAAGATAACAAAAAGGATAAGATTTTTAGGTGTGCGGTTCAGTTCTTTCAATTTTACTATTGAGTTCTTTCGCTCTGTTTTCTTGGTACAACATGGTTGGGTGCCTAGACATGCACCCAGGCGGGTTCGATCAGCACTCAAATTGGACAAGTTGGATGATATCAGCAGTGAGTGGATTAATGCAGATGTTCTCATATTCAACACAGGACAGTGGTGGGTGCCAGGGAAGCTTTTTGAAACAGGTTGCTACTTTCAGGTTGGAAACTCATTAAAGCTTGGAATGTCAATTCCTACCGCCTTCAGACTAGCATTAGAAACTTGGGCATCATGGATTGAGCAAACAATCAACACAAGTAAAACACACATCTTTTTTCGGACATTTGAGCCATCTCATTGGAGGTACTATCTACTATCAAGATGCTATGTTCTTTAAGTACAGTTGCATTAAACTTGTTTTGGAATCAGATATGCCTTTGAGTGGAGCAGTAAACAACGTTTTTTTCTCTGTATTAATTTTTTCTTTTTCTTGCCCAATGACATTGAACTATTCTCTCTTTTCCTTCACCTGTTAATTTTGGATCGAACTCTCCTTTCATTCGGCCATCTTGTTTATTCACGGGCATACAAAAGTCGGGACTTTTATATTTCACTTCTCTTGAAAAGCTCTATCAATTGGTCTTCCCTATCAAATGTATGCTATATTCACCTCAACCACGAGTTTTTTGGAGGCATAACAATATTCTTGCATTTAAAGAAGTTTCATATGCTTTACTTATTTTCTGCTGGATTTCACTACCAAGTGTGAATTCATTCTTCATCATATTTTTTAACAGTTCTTCATTTTGCTTCAGGGACCAAACTCACAGGTTATGCAATGTGACGCATCAACCTATAGCGGACACCAAAGGAAGGGACCGAAGTATATTTTCAGACACCATCTTGGATGTGATAAAGAATATGACAGTTCCTGTAACAGTTTTGCATATAACTTCTTTGTCGGCATTCCGCAGTGATGCACATGTGGGTTTGTGGAGTGACAACCCATCTGTTCCTGATTGTAGCCACTGGTGTCTACCAGGAGTTCCAGATATGTGGAATGAAATTTTTCTGTCATACGTGATTGCTAACTTTAAACATAACCAATGACATGTCACTGTGTGAGTTCCTTTTGGCTTTGGCTTTTCTTAATTCTGCTTTGCTTGGGTCAATTTGAAATGAGCTTAAAAATGCTTTCTTTGGGCCATATTTACTATGTACATGAGCTTAAATCCTAGTATTTTTCTCTGCTTGCAAGAATCCTTTTCCTTTGCTTTTTCTTCCTCAATTCTGCTTTGCTTGGGCTGATTTTCCATGAGCGTAAAATTCCTCTCTCTAGTCCCTATTTATTATTTACATGAGCTTAAGTCCTAGCATTTTTTCTCGAAAATCAACCATTCTGTTTCTCCTCCTCTTAGTCAGATAGCATCATAGGCTTGCTTCTTTCAGTTATACATTATGGGATCATCCTGCATACTGTTTTTGTCACATTCGTGGATTCTCAGGTTTGACATACTGAGATAAGCTGAAATGCATATCTATACTCTTCAATTGGTCATGGTCTTCTTTGAGGACCAAACTCTTCATGATGCAAGAACCTATCAGGACCTCAGCTGACTCCTAGAGTCAATTCAACAAGCATTCTGCTTTATTCTTTATGATACTCAGCTGGCTGCTCATTGCCATTGCATTTTGACTTCTTGTTTTTCTGGTATGCCACATAGATAGCAGTTATTGGTTATTCCAGTAAACAACTGCTAGATTTCCATTATTATAATCAGTCAAAATCTATTGAAAGTTTTCAGTGAGAATCTATCTAGACTCTCTCCCTAGAAATGCTTCCCAAATGTTTCTCTTCTTTTCTAATGTCTCTCTCTCCTTTCTGTCCAATTTAATCTCTGTTTAAGGTTCATGTCTGAGGATCCTAACATTTGGTAGTAGAGAACTCCAATTTCAAAGAGGTGTGACCTTCCCTTGCACCAATGGCCAAGAACAAGGGCAAGGTCCCCACCTGCTTATCAGCAACTTTAACAGCATGACAATTCAGTGAAGGGTTCAGATCAAAAATTGAAGGATTTAATTACAAAGCTCTATGGATCGTTGAAACCCACAAAAAAAGCAACTCCACAAGATACAAGGAGAATCAATCGCATCTTGAGCGATGATTCAAACATCTGGCTGACATGATGAGGAATATGAAGCATCCCCCAAAATTGACCATTCAGGTACCTTAGCCATCCCCTAGTTTTCTTTGTTCTATGAAAAGATTGGCAACTCCTAAACCGAAAAACAGTATTGGTTGTAGCTATTGATACAATAGGAGTTTCTTGGATTACTAGGCACTGGGACTTGGGATTCCGCATTTTGATTAAGGAAATTTCCAAGCTTGGATTTGGCACTGCTAGAATTCTTTTCAGTTATGCATCGTGTACCAAGGTAGTAAGTTTTTCTTGGGTGGACGAGCAAATACGTGGTACCAAGGTAGTAGGTTTAGCAAAAGGTTTCGCATTTGAAATTTTTATGGAAGAATTATACAGTAGATTCTGTTAGTTGTAGATCATGGATTTGTGGAAAAATTTTACAAGCTCGTCCAGGTTGAATCTGTCCGTGATTACCCCAAAAATTTGAGGAATGATGCTGACTGCCTTGGCCATTCTGAATGATACTTCATAGCATGCTTCATTAGTGATTTGAATGAAGAACTAAGGCTAATAATCAAAATACTTAGGCCTCATACTTTAAATTTAAGTTTTGAACAAGACCAATTCCAATAACAAATCATCAATACCATGCTTAAACGCAAGAAATCCTTCCAAAAAGACCAATTGCCTCGAAATCCAAAATCAGCAATTAATAAAACCACATGTCATACTACATCCCAGAAGTTTAGTTCAATTGATAAAGACACTGTAAAATCTCCTATGACCTCAAAACTATTCCCAACCAAAACCAGGCCTAACTCTCGGATAATGCCCACCTGACCTAAAACATTCCCTAGATTCTTGCTTTAGGTGTGGGGATAGGCCTAACATTCTTGATCTCAAAACCTATTCCCACCAAACCAAACCAGGCTTAATTTTTTTGGACACCAATGCAAACCTAAGAAAGTTTTAACATAAGGAGCATAGAAGAAGGCAATTGACCCTAAAAAGTACTTCATGATGGTAGGGAAGACAAGGATGTTGGGGTGATATCAATGCAAGCCATGGAAGTGCATAGGAAGAGGCACACTATCAAAATTAGAGGCCTCATAGAAAAAAGACCAATTTTTATTCTGATTAATTAAGAAATCATGCACTACTTCCTAGATGAAAGAGTATAGCTCAGTGAAAGAATGGTTATATCGAGGCCACTCTCTATTACGTTGACCAATGACCATTAGGTTGTGAATAAGTTAAAGTGTGAGGGGAGATATGGGGAATGCAGGGATACGTCTTTGCTATTACCTTCAGGTGATCAAGTTGTCTATTATCATTGGATGAAACAATTTAATCCAGTACTCTTTACCTTTATTGGAATAAAGAGTATCCTTTGAGAAATTAGGATAAAAGATTATCCTCCAAATATTAGTAGAGCAACCACGACAGCTTAAGCTTTTTTGCAACAATCTAGAGAAGAGAATCTATAGAGGTTGGGAAGGTAACATAGGTGTGGTCTATTTTATTTGTGGTTGTTAGCATGTTGGACCAGATTGAGCAAGGTTCACTACTCTGCTAAAATCATTTGAGAATGTACTTTCTAATTCATAGACCTTTTCTCTTGAAAAAAGCCTAGATCCTGTAAGTCTTCTCAAACCAGACAACCCTTTTAATATGAGACTATGTGGTTGAGGTGAATATAGCATACATTTGATAGGGAAGATCAATTGATAGAGGTTTTCGAGAGAAGTGAAATACAGAAGTTCCAACTTTTGTATACCCATGAAATAAACAAGATGGCCAAATGAAAGGGAGAGTTGGATGCAAAAATTAACAGGTGAAGAAAAAGAGAGACTGGTTCAATGTCATTGAGCATGAAAAAGAAAAAAAGTAACACAGAAATAAAAGCCTTGTTAGTTCTCCACTCAAAGGTATATCTGATTCCAAAACAAGATGTGTGTTTTACTTGTGTTGATTTTTTGCTCAATCCATGATGCCCAAGTTTCTAATGCTACCCTGAAGGCAGTAGGAATTGACATTCCGAACTTTAATGAGTTTCCAACCTGAAAGCAGCAACCGGTTTCAAAAAGCTTCTTGTTACCTACAACCATCCTGGGTCAAATATGAGAACATCTGTAGTAATCCACTTATTGCTGACATCATCCAACTTGTCCAATTAAAGTGTTGATCGAACTCGCCTTGGTGCATGTCTAGGTACCCAACCGTGTTGTACCAAGAAAACAAAGCGAAAGAACTCAGTGGTAAAAAGAACTGAACTGTATACCTAAAATCTTATCCTTTTTGTTATCTTATTCCCATTTATTTCATAGACACTGTTCTTATCTTCTACCCCAGCCATTAGCAAGCATATCAATGACTCCCACTGTGTTCTGCTCATAGAATCTCCAACAAAAACAACCCTCTTACCCCTAAGCCTTTCCAGAATATTATGAAAGTTCGACCTTGGGATATCACATTGCTTTGGTTTCCACCTCCACTTAAGATTATCCTCTTCTCTATGTTCATTTCCTAAGCAATTGAATCTTTGTTCCACAAAAGGACAATCTGAAGCATTGTACAAAGGATTTTCATTATCCATGACCCAATTTCCATCAAATATGTCAGTCTTCTCTTGAAGTGCTCAATTGGGAGACATCATATCCAAGAAATGCCTGACTGAAGGTAGGAAGAACATACATATAACCACCACCTATGACTACAAAGAATGAAACCAAATATCTAATGATGACAAGAACCTGAAACAAAAGGGACACCCAGCTGAATTGACTTATCCTTGGGCTCCTAAAACTCATGGTTCTCAGGCTTCCTAAAGCTGAGGTTACAGGGCTATTGATACTTGAAGTTCTCGGGCTTCCAAAGCTCAAAGAACTCAAGACCCTGCAATTGAATGATGTACTCTTTGTAAATTTGCTTATTATCTCATCCATTCATGGCACTAATCGGTGAAGCATCCTTACTCAAGCCACACATAATTTCAATAATGTTAGCACCAAGATCCAACAAACTCAACGCCCTGAGTAATTATAGTACCGATGGTCTACAATTATCCATCTAAGCAAGAAAAACATTAAATCCATAATAGCATCAATCGGATAACTTACCAAAACATTAAATCATAAAGATGCCAGAAGAAAAATTTCTAAGTGTGACATCTATCAAAGATGCAAGAAGAAAAACATTTCTTCTACGAGACTATTGATGCTATTGCCTATTCCCCACCAAGTCTAGACTGATGTCTTTATGGGTTTCATAAAGAACTTTCAAGATCAAAGGGGA